ATCGAATTAGCCCATACCAAACTTCCTAAACTCCAGATCATCATCCCCTAAAATCCAATCAAAAATTCTACATATACTCCCAGATCAATCCCCATCAATCTCACCTCAGCACCTTGCACCTTCACCAAACCCAGCTCCAACCAAGTCAACTCATCTCAAACTTCACAAATCCCAAACCATCATCCCCTAAAATTCAATAAAAAAATTCAACTCCTACTCCCAGACCAATCTCACCTCAACACTTTCCACCTTCGCAAACCCAGCCTCAACCAAGTCAACCCAACCAATCTTTGCTCTCAAATTTCACAAACTCCAAACCATCGTTCCCCAAAATCTGCTCAAAGGACAGGTTCCATCCATCCAGGTCCCATTATTCCCAAGAGCGCTCGATGCCCGCCTCCAGCGGAGCCCGCGTTAACAGACGGCCGGTTAAGTTATTAACGCGACCGCTACTGCGCCGCGGAAACACGGTGTAACGAAGTTAATGTGTTGCCCTGCGAGTATAGATATCGCCGGACAGATAGGCGCACGTGGTGTACACACGGTCTCTCTCTCCGTCTTTTTCTCCCTTTTCCCCGTCCTCTCTGTCCAACCGCCTCGCGTATACGCGGCCGTTCACTTCCGCCTACTTAACTGCGACGTCTGGGCAACCTTACGCTGTCGAGCCCGCATCAATTTGCGGTTCCTGGCCGATTGTAAAACAATTTCCTATGCAGTCCCCGGCTGAGCCACCTTCCCTGACGCAGACCAGGCAGCTTCAAATTTAGATTCGAATGCGATTCCGCGCGGAGGAGGGCAGCTGACTTGTTTCGGGGTTCGCGAGACGCGAAGTTGGAGATTCATATTGTTTGTGTTCTTTGGACGCGGTTTTGTAACTGCTGTCTTCTGTATGGGAAGAGGTTTGATGGCTTATGGAATAAATTATCGTTTGATGTTAGATGATCGGATGTTAGAGGGTTTCGGGGGTGAACGGTTTTCAGTGGTTTTTTTAGGTGATTATGATTCTTAATTATGGGGATTGTCCTTTTGATTTTTAATTGGTTCTAATTTGATCTTTCGCTGATAATTTCTTGAGAGTCGAAAGATTGAAGAAATGATGAAAGACGATGAAAGTTTCCTTTGAGAGTCTAGTATTGGCTTGATGATCTAGAGCTTTTTGGTGAGTCATTGACTGTGAATTTTTGTTTAAATATTCTATCACTTACGTGATGTTTCTGTTTATGAGTATTGGTATGAATAAATATGACTATTGGTGAATAACTGAAGAAATGAGAAGGTGGTAGAATTAACCCTAATCGTATCACGTGTTTTTATAACGAATGTGACTTTCAGTCACTTATGAGAATAAAAGGAATGATTAAAATGTTATTGTCTGTTTATAAGGTGCAAATTTTAACCCTCTGCATTCGAGAGTTTCAGTCACCACTTGATTTGCAAAATTATAAAGTCTTATATATAATATTAAGCTTTGTATGACGCATCAGTATGTGGAATATTGAAATAACTTTCCTTCTTAATTTATATATTCCTCATTAATCAATTTCAAGTCTGTATCTCATTGGAGAATATTGAATATGTCTAATGAAAAACTTTCGAGTGCAAAGGGTTAAAGCCCAGAAAAACTTTTGGAAATCCAATATGAAGTAATCAGAAAATTTAAGTGAAAAGTTCGAAGGTGACTCAAAGTTCGATTAGGGTTGAAGTATAGTAAATGAACGAAAGAATGCAATAGAGTTGACTGAGTCTGTCGTTTTCTTTCGCCAATAAGAAAGTTTCATTTCGCGTGAAGATTGGTGGCGATCCCGAAGCAGAAGCGCAGAAAATGGCGGCCGATCGCCGGACGTTTCAAGGATCAACGTTTTCCCGACGCGGCACCCGCAAAAACCGAATCGTTGTCCATTTACGTGATTACGTTCAGGGATACTTGGCATAATTAAACGTCGGCGTGACGAAGGTAACAGCCGCGCCGTGTATATACACACGGTCTCGCGAGGACTCAATTGATCGCGGCGGGAAGCGACCGGCGAAAAGAAAAGTGGAAGCGGCGAGGAACCGGGTATTTATATCACCGTTAAAAACGTTATTTCGCGCCGTCGAGAATCGTAATCGAAATTGACCCAATTTTCGAGGCAAACTGTGAAATGCAGATTTCGAGTATTTTTTTAGTAAATAATCGTGCGATGGGACGCTGTTCAATGGGAATTTTGGTTTCTAAGAGTCATTGGGTTGATAGAACATTTAGTTTTTGAGAATTTAATTTTGATATTGACCTAATTTTCGTGGTAATCGGTGAAACAGAGCTTTCGATCATTTTTTAGTAAATAATCGTGCGATGGGACGCTGTTCAATGTGAATTTTAGTTTTTATAGTTATTGGGATGATAGCACATTTAGTTTTTGGGAATTTAATTTTGATATTGACCCAATTTTCGAGGCAAACTAAGAAATGCAGTTTTCGATCATTTTTTAGTAAATAATCGTGCGATGGGACGCTGTTCAATGTGAGTTTTGGTTTTTATAGTCATTGGGTTGATAGAACATTTAATTTTTGAGAATTTAATTTTGATATCGACTCAATTTTTGGGAGAAAATGGAGAAAAGTTGTCGAAATTTTTTAATAAATAATCGTATGATATAATATTATTCGATATGAGTTTTTATTTGCAATATTCATTGTATAATTGGAATTTTTAATAACTGGTGTGTAGTTGCCCTCAGTTTTTGAGAATTTAATTTTGATATATGTGACATAACATTATTCAACGTGAATTTTGATATTTAATATTCATTGAGTAATTAGAAATTTGAAATAATTATTCAATGAGAAAACAAGATTTTTGTATTTGAAAATTATTGTAATGTTCACTGTAAAGAATTTGAATCTCTAATGTTCCTCGCAAGAAATGATTATACATCTTTTTCACAATAAGATGATGTATTTTAATGTAATAAGTTTGACTGCATAGATGATCCACGATGGCGCAAGAGCGAAATGCTAGGAGAGTCGAGGCACGGTTCATTCTACGCCGGATAAAAAAGACAGTTGTGCACGCACAGTTCTTCAAAGTGGCTTTATAGATTCTTGGGTAGTGTTGTAAGAATTTCCATTGCATCACTCTATCGTAACTGCTGCAAGCCTTCAAGAAATTGACTTTTTACTGTTGCTTAGCTGGAGATCTGAGTGTGTGTTCTGTCCGCCATTAGCAGTCTTCGAATTGTTATTAACTGAGAGAGTACCATTGCATGTTTTTCATTTCGATAAAAAGTCCAGAGAAAAAATACAAGAATTTTAATAGAAATTCGTTCCACTTTCTCGTCATGTTGAACTTCTACTTTATTTCACATGCGAAACATCTGAACTGAAGATTGTATATTTTTACGAGTTTCTAGGATCTAATTTTTAAAGGATTTTTCAGGGACCAGTATGAGTTGTAGATTATTTAGAATAGATATATGTTTTGTAACGTTTTAACATTGTATTTGAGGATTGGAGAAATATGACCAGTTTGAAAATTTGATTTTACTTCTAGGAATGTTTCACTGTTTCTCAAATAATTTTAGTTGTTGAATTTTATCGAAGAATCCCAGTGTAATTTAGATTTCAACACTTCGACACCTCAGAATTTCAACACTTCAACACTTTAATACCTCAAAATTTCAACGTTTCAGCACTTCTAAATTTCAATACTTTAATACCACTAAATTTCAACACTTTAACACCTCTAAATTTCAACACTTTAATACCTCAAAATTTCAACGCTTCAACACCTCAAAATTTCAACACTTTAATACTTCAAAATTTCAACACTTCAACACCTCAAAATTTCAACGTTTCAGCACCACAAAATTTCAACCCTTCAACACCTCAAAATTTCAACGTTTCAGCACCTCTAAATTTCAACACTTTAATACCTCAAAATTTCAACGCTTCAACACTTCAGCACCTCAAAATTTCAACACTTCAACAATTCAACAATTCAACAGTTCAATTTCAAAATTTCAAATGGCAATTTTAAAGGTTCGATGTCATCGTCCAGAAGATTCGAAGATCACCACAATTTCATCGGCAAATGTTCCTTATCGAATCTTAACAAAGTATCCCGGCAGCGTGAAGAATAAAAGAAGAGTAGATAAGCGTTGACTTTCGAGTCACGCCACCGTACAGTGCGTGATTCCAGGTGAAACATGCGCAACGGAACAAGTCGTTCGCGTAATCGAAGTCACATTCGCGGGAATCTCTAACCAAATCGGGAAATTCCATCAAATTTTTTCTCACCGCAGACATTACTCGACTCCCACTTATCAATTAACCACTTAACTGTGTTTGACGAGTATACACGTCATCTTGAAACTCTTAACACTAGGTTTACGGAACGTGTCAAATTGACGCATATTGGATTTTAGAAATATTATTTCGTAAATGTTTACGCCGATTTTAATCGATGCGATCACACTGACATGTACCCCAATTACCTACTATCAAATCTCCAGTTTCCATAATTTAAATAAACGAGTATCAATTCTTTTAGGAATAATAGAATGAAGTGTACAATAAATGCCCGTAAACCTAGTGTTAATAGCGCTAACCTTTTCAACGATGGATTCTTTATTTCTTGAGACAAATATGTAATTCTTCTTCGCTTTAGTATTTCGTTAGGATATATTTTAAGTGCATTTGGCCTGCAATTAACGAGTATACGCTTCATTATTTAATTTTATTGATACACTTAACAGGTTCATTCGTATTACAATTTTCTTTCCTCTTCGCGTCACGTTTCCGTTTCATTTCTTTTCCTTCCTTCTTTCTCTTTCATTCAAATTCGTTCGACAAAAAGTCGGAAATCCGATTGGCCCGTTGCGTCACGTGTTTCGCGTTATCTATCCACGAGTGGAATTAGCAAAACAGATGTTCGACGATACGATTACACCGCGTCGGGTTACTTTTTCTGCTTCGACGTGCCGCAAAAATCATTCTTCGACTGTCAACTAGCGGGAACACACAGCCACGTGCCATTTTGCCGGTGACTGAACCGAATTTCGTGATTTCTTCGTTGACCAACATCGTCTTCCACGTTTGTGTCCAGTTTCATTGAGTAATTATTTTCTTTTCAATAATCAATTTAATGACTGAATTTCACTGAGCAATTCCTTTGTTTGTAATAATTACTTTAACGATTATGACCCGTTCGGTGATTATCGTGTTCTCAATATTTAATTTAACGATTGAACTTCGTTTAGTGATTATTTTATTCGCGGTAATTAATTTAACGATTAAGTTTCATTCGGTGATCATTTTATTTTCGATATTTCGTTTAATGGTTAAACGATCGCGTTGATTCAAAGTGAATTTAATCGATACTTGGACGTGCTATAAATTTAATCAGTAGATTAGGGATTTTATGAATTTGTAATAAATTAATAAGAGTTTTCGTAATTTTGGTGTTCTGGATAATGATAGGTTATGAATTTATGGGATAATAGGTTCTTGCTATTGTTAATTAGTAAATAATGAAAACTAATTAATTGAAATTATACATCTATGAATATTAATATCTGTATAAAGATCTACAATCTGTTAATTACACTTATAATTGGTCAAACTTATTTAGAGTTGTTTCAAGCTTAATTGTAAAATTAAAATTGCCAAAGTTAATTATAACTATTACAGAATTCTCTAGAAATAATCAAATTTATTCCAAACTTAACCAGACTCGATTAGGCTTTACTCTTCAACTTCCATGTCATACGAATTCACGACTCTTAGCTGACGCAACTTTTTGAATACCTTTCAAACTCAATTTTCTCCGTGACGCATGGAACGAATCGAATTTTAATAAACTCATAAAATACAAGAATATCAAAAGACCATTGTCTATAAAAAATCTTGATCATATAATCTCTGATTAACAAAGCAAATTCAGCATCAAAATATTCTGTTGACTTAATTACATTTAAATAAACTTAAACCACCTAAACCAAACTAAGTATACGTATCTTCTAAAATTGAATAAAATATATCAACTTTTAATGAAACAATAAATCTCCTATTCTTTAATTCTCGGTTTAATTCATCAAAAATTTCTCTCGATCAAAATAGTTCCAACGTATCGTCAGTATCAAACACATTCGCAGATAATTGAATCGTTCGTATTCAGATCACATCTAAACCGAACTATCTGCACACGTGACGAAATTTAATAAAATATTTCAACCTTCAATTAACCAATAAAAGCATCTGTCTCTCAGCTTAACTTTCGATTAAACAATTGAACATTAAGAACACCTGTTCTGTAATTCAACTGTCGATTATACAATCAGACAACACAAACACCTGCTCTTTATTTCAACTTCTATTAAACAACAAGAACACCTGTTCTCCGCTTCTCACTATAATTAATCGAATTTCTCCCGTTCGAAATAATTGCAAGAAATTCAACAGCATTAAAAATATCTACAGATAATTGAATCGTTCGGATTCACATCACGACTAAGCCAAACGACACACTCGATGAAATCTAATAATATACTTCAACTTTCAATTAATTAGCGAAAACGCCTGTCCCTTAACTCAATTCTCAATTGAACAATCAAACAAGAAAACCTCCTATTCTCCAAATTCTCACTTTAATTAATCAAACTCCTGTTCGAAATAATTCCAAGAAATCGACAGTATCAACCATATCCACAAATAATTGAATCGTTCGGATTCACATCACGACTAAGACAAACGACACACTCGACGAAATCTGATAATATACTTCAACTTTCAATTAATCAACAAAAACATCTGCTCCTCGACTCAACTTTCAATTGATCAATCAAACAACAAAACCATTTATTCTCCAAATTCTCACTATAATTAATCAAACTGCTCCCGATCGAATTAATTCCAAGAAATTGACAGTATCAACCGTATCCACGGATAATTGACTCCCCGATTCAAATCGGCCTGTCGAGGAACCGTGATCGCTGTTCATTGGATTGATGTGTTTACAATGGTGCACCGTGTATTCATTGGTCGTCGCGTCGACGTAGACGACGGTCACGCGGTGATTTGATTAATTGATAATTTGATTGATAATGTGACCGTAGGGCGACCGATGAAAATAATCGATCGAATCGTATCGAGCCTGTTTCCTTAGAAAATTCGCGGCCTGTCAACCGGAGTATTGTTCTTTAGAACCTGTTACATCATGTTACACAATGATCACGTGACCGTGGGCTCCGATAACAGGACTGTTTATTGAGGCGCATTGTTCGGCCGCGGTTGGCCGTGGTATTCCGAAGATCTACGTTGCGAAATACCCCGGAGAAATGAATGAAATCATCGTGCGAAGAAAGTTTAATAGATAGTGTAACGCCGGTAATCATTCCCCGTGCGTTTCGTAATCGACCCGATTAAGTGTTATTATACCCGCGACGAGGAGGAAAAGCGTTGCCGTTCTAACGAACGCAATTATTTCAGAGATAATGCGACCAGCGATAAGATAAACGATTCGGGAATTTAATTCGCGAGATTTTTTTTAGTTTTTTGTTTTAGAATTGTTTCGTGGAAATTAAATGGGACGATGGTGTGAATGATATATTAATATTTTTGTTGCAATGCGGTTTGTGATATGAATATTGATATATTATTTATAATTATTTGAGAGATAATGCGACCAGCGATAAGATAAACGATTCGGGAATTTAATTTGCGAGATTTTTTTTAGTTTTTTGTTTTAGAATTGTTTCGTGGAAATTAAATGGGACGATGGTGTGAATGATATATTAATATTTTTGTTGCAATGCGGTTTGTGATATGAATATTGATATATTATTTAATATATTATATTACTATTATAATGTAACATTCTAATGAGCATCTCACCATTCTCACACACGAAAGTAAAACAAAAGAAACTCCCACTGAATAAATTCATTAGAAACCAACCATACATGCATCACATTACCACTTTAATTTAATCTCACCGTTCTCACACACGAAACTAGAACAAAGGAAATTCCCGATCAATAAATTCATTAAAAACCAATCATACGTGCATCACATCACCAATGTAATTTAATTTGCAATTCAACGCAACCAATTTAATTTAACAAAAACAAGAAAAAAAAAGAAATCGAAAGGAGAGCAAAGTTCATCGAAACACAGTCACTGGTGTCCGATCCGCGCAACGAGTCTCATGGCGCGGTTCCCACGCGTACGCCATTGCGCAACAATCGTAAAATAATCGCGTCGGCCGATTCGAAATCGTTATCGTCGCTCGCGTCGTCGTTTCTCGCTGGATTCATCGCGAATCACCCAGACCACCGTGCTGCACGCGTTGTCCGATGTGTAACAGGCTTGAAATAATTATAACATGGTGACCATGGACCCGATACCCGCGCACCGCGGTTCTTACTGCAACCTGGACACACACTTTCCACGTGGACCTTCGCAATTACGCGATTCGCGACGAACAACGTCCGAGAATCGACGAATTCGATTAATCAACACTAAAACTACCTGACGAGTCGGAATGACGCACTCATCATTTATTCTTCTCGTAATCATTAACACGTTAAGCGCCACGAAAATCTTAAGCGTTTTCCCATAGAGTTTGTCTTCTGTAGCAAAGAAAAGTAGGAACAATTATGAATTGTAACGTTCGCGTTACACTATTATCAACTTAGTTGCCTTATTAAACATTTTTATTTCACATCGGTTGTCTTGTACGTTACGATTGTTTTTTAGTCATTCAGAAGCGTCAGTCACTAGTGACTGACATGGCGCTTAACGTGTTAACCGTTTGCACTCGGAAGTTTCCCACTAGAAATATTTTAACCCTTAGCACTCCAGGTTGTTTTGTAATCTATCAACAACTGCAACTAATTTTTATAATATTCCTAGCGAAAATTAGAAATGATATAACATTTCTTCGATCTTTTATTTTCCTTGTTAGCACAAAATTTGGATGTGAAAATCGAATAATTTTAGGTTAGTTTCTTTAACCCCTTGCCGTGCAATGACGAGTGAGACTCGTGATGAAAATTTCTAAACTAATTTAACAAGAATCAATGTTGTTCATTACCCACGGATCAAAGCGAACAACTATTTTGCTATTATCAATGTATTATCTTGAAATGAAATTTCCACCTGAAGTAGACTGGAATATTTTGTTATATTTCTTACAAATTGTCGATAGTAAAATATTACACGAGCTTAGTAACGAAAGTAAATAGTACGCCAAGGGGTTAAGATTCATTCAAATATTTAATATTATAACTGGTGCAATATTGGAGCATACAGAGTTCAAAGGGTTAACCCTTTGCACTCGAGAGGCGACCCTCAGTCGCCAGAAGATTTAATACAGCAAAACTATAAACCTTGGTATTTACCATTAACACTAGAACTGCCGAGCATTTAATACGATTAATATTTAATCCGTATAAAAATTGTAACAATAGATTATTGTCAGTTTTTTTAGACATTCATTATGGTATTCAAATGAAACTATTTATTTCCAAGATCATTTCAATTATTGAATGCTTTTAAGATATTAATAATTGCGAAACAAAAAGATCAAAACCAGTCATTTTGACTGGTACAATAACTGGTACAAAATAATTATTTCCCAAACTAGAACATTAATTGTGTCAGTTGTTTTCTAAACTCCACCGCATTGCTTCTAAGCGACTCTTGAACTCAAATAAAATATTCTTCTATTCAATAAGGAATTTGTCGAATAATAACCTTTCAATCTCGAACAAACAAACATGACACTACCGTCCCATTACCCATGAATTCGTGGAAAGCTACCCCTTTCAGAGCTAGCGATTCACGTGTCAATACGGTCTCCGGTGGTCCCAGCGAAAGAAAAAACAGGCCGCGTCCCGTAACCCTTTGTCAGGTCCATTTCGGCGAATATTAAGTTTCCCCGGTAGCAAGAGGATTTTTGTTTGACCGTATACCGGGGGGTTCCTCGGTTTTCGTCGTTGCAGGCACTGAAGAGCAAGGAGAACGTCAAGGATGCTGAGCAGCTTGGCAAACTACTTACTCGGAGGTAATATCTCCGCCGCGCAAGATTCACGGGAAGGGACCAATAACGAAACTCCGGAGTCCCTTCCAGTAATGACGAGGCTCAGTCAGGTGGAGGTTGAAGGGGAAGATTGGATCCTCATTGACCGTGCAGGTATGTCTGACCTTTTTCAAAGGCGGCGACCCCTTCGGCTTTTCAGCAGGATCGAAAACTTGTTCCACCCTTCGGACCTATTCGCGCTTGCAAAATGGGACCCGAGTTTTTCGAGCCACGTGTCAGAATCGTTCAATACGGTTTCGACAGAAGTCAACGCCCCACGGTTCACGAAGGGTTCATTTATCCCTGTCGTCTAGCCCTCGAGGGCAAATGAACTTCTGGGGAATGTTCAAAGTATCGCATGAAATAATTATTGTTCGTTCATCTGGAATTATTTAATAGGGAATTACATTGTTGATGAGTAAAGATGAATATTGGATCGAGAAGATTAGAATGTTTCGTCTTTTGCTTATTTGTAGTTAAGGATCTTTCAAAATTTAATTAATGCTTTGTTTTAACCTATATTGCTACAGTTTCGAGGAAACTTAGAATCTCAGAGATACGTTAATTTAAAATGTAAAGTTAGCTCTGCTTTATCGACTGCTGGAACTGAGAGCTTCATTTTGTATACTCCGTTCAGTTAATTCGGTTAGAAACTGTTTTTTAAAAACAAGAACCGCATTTGCGCTGTTGGGCTTTCTTCGACCGTGTTTTTTTTTAAATCTCTGGTACTTAAACAGAAGTCCAAACTAAAATGACAAAATCGAATTCCTTATTCTTTCTCGCAAGTTACAAATTTCGGTTTGATGTTTAACCCTTTGCACTCGAGGGATGACTCTCAGTCGCCATTTGATTTCATGTAACAAAATTACAAAGTGTTGTATATAATACTAAGTTTTGTATAATGCATCAACATGTGAAACATTTATATAAAATAGCTTTGTTCTTTAATTTAGGTATGTTTTCTCATTAGTCCGTTTCAAATACTGTCGTCTGTCTCATCGGAAAGTGTCAAATGTTTCTAGTGAAAAGCTTCCGAGTGCAAAGGGTTAAAAATATATTAATCATCGACGCTTCCGTTTCTACTAGCTGAAATTTAGCTGGCGTACAATGTGTTAACACACTATCGGCGGGAAACATCATGAGCTTGACTCACACGTATACCGGGCGAAAATTAGTTTCTTTTTTTTCTTAAAAATTAATAAATTTAGGACTAAACACTGGTCAGGCTTTACGAAAAACAACCAAAAACATCATTCCTGCCCAAAAATTAGTGACAATGAAAAAAAACAAGCATTGGTAAGTGTTTTACTAACGCTTAGCGTACGTTCTGCATAAAAGGTATTAATACCCTTCCCGCCGATAGTGTGTTAACCCCTTGTCCTACAACAACGAGCGAGGCCCGTGGTGAAGATTTTCAACGTGACTTTTCAACAAATATCTATATTACTTAGTTAATTCGAATTCAAAATAAATATTTGTCATCTGTAATCAACTGTTATACTTAAAAGGAAATATAGTAATAACATATGCTTAGAATTTTTCTCTTTTTCCAATAAATTATTCATGACAAAGTAGCCGTATCGATGAGAGTTGAGAAAGAAATCATAGGTCAAGGGGTTAACCCCTTAACGCACAGTTTTTTTGAAAAAAATCGGCCAAAAAAAATCAATTTTGATATACTGCGCTTTTGTTCCATGGAGAAAGGCTATAGTTTATTCTTGAATAAATAAGTGTAATAGCTTACAATCCCATGTAAATGATAAATATCAATAAAACGATTTTCTTTCTTTACTTTCACATTGTTATTTTCACAGTTTGGCCTGTTTAACGCGCTCGAATTAACTCGAGCGTGTAAGTTAAGGGGTTAATAACGAAGTAGTTGTATCCGTCGTAGTTGAGAAACAGATCGCGGGCAAGGGGTTGATTACTGTGTTTGGATTTGCAGTTGAGGGCGCGACGACTCTGGAAGATTCGTGGTACGTAATGCCACCCGCATGTTTCACACGGGCGGGACCCGTGAACATAGAAACATCACCGCTGGAGGACCTGCTGATCGAGCACCCCAGCATGTCCGTTTACCGAGCCACAGCTTCTCCGGTCGACCCCGACACTCCACCGCCTACCCCAAACGCGCCGGAAGACCGGGACTCCGAAAACGACGTTCTACCCCCTCTTGTTTCCGGCCCGACGTCGGCAGCCTCGCCGGAACCTAGCCCAAGAGGAACCGAGGACAACCAGGAGAACACTAGACCCGCCATTCGCGACGACAGACCTCCCATCAGTCGTTCTCGTACTGAAATGATGATAGTCCAGCTTCGATCAGCGCAAAAGGTGCTCATTCTTCGTTGCAGCATGACGCTTGCCACTCGAAACGCAGAGCGCGCCATTAACACGTTGAACGCCGCACGATTTCGTAGAACAAAATGCACAAACCGGGAAAAAATATAATATTAAATCATTTGATTGAATTGCGTTATTATTATCGCACGCTGATCTTGCTCAATGTCACCGCATTCGATAGCATTGTTTATAATATAGAAATGTTGTCAAATAATCATCTTTCGATTAAATGAACTATAGTAACTCGATTTAATTGGGGGTCACCGGTGACCCCCATGGCATTCAACGTGTTAACCAGTTAACTGTGGAATTTAGTTGGAAAAACCTCTCGTTCTGCGCGTAATAAAATAAAATGGAGCGTGTACTCGTCGAGCGCAGGACGAATGCACGTAAAGTATATTTTAACACTAGCACTACCGAGCATATAATACGATTGATATGTGATCTCTATAAAAATTGTAACAATAGATTATTTTCAGTTTCTTTGGATATTCATCATAGTACTGTCAAACTATTTATTTCCAAAATCATTTCAGATATTCTATGCTTTTAAGGTATTAATAACTGCGAAACAAACAAATCGAAACCCGTCATTTTGACTGGTACGGTAGTTCTAGTGTTAATGAAAGATCAAAGCGAAACAAAGAATTGCATGTTTATGTGGAAAAATAAAGAATTCATCGAGAGAATTAGTATAGTGCCGAGAAACGAGAAATCTTGTTTTTCTATGGAGACACTTAGCTATGTAACTTTGCTGATTACCACAGCGTTAGATAAATTATTCAACTTGATCCAAATTGATTAGCTATTTAAAATATATTACATAATAATATGATATCCGAATGGTTCATATATATATAATGATATAAATTGATTTCACTGAAAATTGCCATCGTTACGGTTTTCTGAAAATTACCCAGTACGCGATGTGTTAACACTAGAGCTACCATTAAACTGTCTTTTTGTAATTGCCGTGGAAACCTGAACAGTGCAATTATTAACTTCAGTTGGCTTGCAATTCGGTTTGTGTATCGCTGAACCAGTTTCTCGAGTACTTTTCCAGAGTAGTTCTAGTGTTGATTTTAACCCTTTGCGGACGGATGTCGGCGTTCCAGTGAGATGGAATGTTCGGATTTGGAAGAGTAAGTGGACAAATGATGTAATTCATCGAACAGCAAGAGTTAAGCACGTAGTTTTCTTTTTCTTCTATTAATTAAGTAATTGATTGATTTAGCTTCATGCATTGGAGATTTTGTATATTTCGAAGAATCTTCGTTTGCAAAGGGTTAAGCAAATATGTATGTAAGAATCGTAAGACGTCGCAAGTCTCTATTGCTAGGTGTTTCCCAATTGCTTAGGTAACTTTCAAATTCAGCACTTTCTAGCTCTTAACACTAGATTTACGGGACGAGTCAATTGTCTACTCTCAAACCTCTAATTTCTATCTAAACGAACGGATAACAATTTTCCTAAGGACGACAGAAGAAACTGTACAGTAAACGTCAGTAAATCTAGCGTTGAAAAACAGTTTCACAGTTTCGATCCCATGGTCTTTCACTCGTAACTCGCTGTTTCTAACGAGGGATATGATTTTTTCATAGGTTCTCGAGAAGAGGACCACGCAGTCGCTGAAAAGAGGCCGTCTAGAGAGAAGCAACAAGCTCCGCGAGGTGTTCAGCGTGAAGGGGAAGCGTCCCCGTCGCCAAGACCGTTTGCGCATCCAGAACAGTGGCGCGAACAACAACCGGAAATGCTAGTCATTCGATCTCAGGCCAAGGTGTACTCCAAGTACCTTCTTCCTAAAGCAGAGAAAAAGTAAAACCTCTAAAAACGCGAAAAAAAATGAACAAAAAAGAAGAAGATAACACATAAAACGAAGACTTACAGAGAAGACACGAAAAAGAATAAAAAAAGAAGAGAAGAAGAGGGAGGAGCAACGAAAGGACGCGAGACTAATCTGTTTAACCCCCGTCGCGATCCTTGTTCGTGTATACCGACGATGTATCATTGCCTCGTGGACGAGACAGTCACGCGGAAGCGCGTATAAACCGTCCGCGGAGGAAATCCGGCGAACTCGCGGAGGATCCTACCCTCGAACCGACTGCAAAACAAAGGCAACGACGTTTTTTATCTCGATCCTCCAGTTGCGAAACAATGAAAAAGCTCCTGTATCACGAATATTCGCTGCCGAACGGTTCAACTCGGTTCCAAGGATCTCTCCGAATCACTCAGCATCCGCAAGGACCTTTCTCAAGCCTCGCGAAAGCAGCCTAGGCAGAAATTCGAAACAGAAATACTAAACTGCCACAGGGCTTCACGTGTCAGAAGATATTTAGCTTCTCCCGAGGAATCAGTGTTCTTGATGGAAGACCTAAGTCTCGCTAGATTAGGTCTAGTCTCAAATGGTGCCGGCCCTGCAGTTCGCCGGATCTTCTCTACCGACAGTGCAACTAGGTAGAACGGTTACCGATCAGCCTCCAGCGATCCTCCTCTCTCCATAATCGCCGTCAAACTCTACCGCGGCGATAACGTATTTTAAATTACCCAGTAGCAAGCGTGGAAGCTAAACGATCAACCTCGGTGTCAATGGGAAAGACGACAATCGAAGTTTCTTGAAATTTGCTAAGAGAGCCACACGTGTTTACAGCTTGCTACGAGACATAGCGGTAGTATGTCACGGGACACGGCGAGAGGAATGGAAGAGAACAAAATGGAGGAAAGAGCGGTCGCGCGAGGCTTGGTCTGGGTCCTGGTACTTCGTCCATGGTACTCTCTTTAATCGCGTGTATATAT